GTAAGAGACGCATTGATTTGCGTAACATCTGCGTTTGTGCTAAATAAAGAGGATGAGAGCAATATAGCTCTGATGAATGCTCTATTGTCGGTACACATTGAATCACCAGAATCGAGCGTAAGGCATGTATATAGAAAATTATAGATTATTTATTATATTAATTTTAATATATAATCGTGTGTGTAACATGTATTACTTTGTATATATATATATACATATAGATTTGTGGCAATGCATTATGCCGCAACCGTGTTTCCACCCGATGACGCTCCATCTCGGTATCTCTTGTTATTAGCGTGTGGTGACAATAAACATGAGATTAGTACAGAAGCCATGAAAGCGCTTTATGGCGTTGTGCATAAAAACGAGGACGATCAACAAATTAGCAGTAAGATAATGTTACCTGAGTTTGTAAAACTAGTAAGTTATATTTATTCGAAGATGCAGTCGAGAATGCCTGCCGCGAGTAGCGGCAGAAACACGGACAAGCATGTACTCCCGTATAGTATCGTTACATTTTCCGAAGTAAGTTCTAGGTGGAAGTTAGATTTGTGAATGCTGCATAAATATATTTACAATTATAATTTATATTGTTACAGATTATTTCTTATTTTCGCATTTGCCTCGCTAGAAGTGCTAATATTCCCGCGCGAAATGAACCATTACAGCATCCATGCGAACATACGCCTCTGATTGGACGTTACTTGGAGAAATTATACAAAGATCAACCAGAGATATTAAATAATTATCTCGACATGATTTTACTTTTAAGTCATTCTTCCGCAGGTAAAAAATAATCATAAATAAGAATCAATTATGCATTATGTTGCACTCGACGTTTAACTATGATTGAACTCAAAAGAATTATATGATATATTGTGTCAAGTTAAGTGTATTTTGTTATCATGGTACAGATCAAATTTCCTTGAATGCATTATTGGAAGTATTTGGATCCGTTCCACATTATATAATAAAATCATATGAGAAGGAACTGCCGTGGCTGTGTTCTTTGCTCACGTCTGCTAAACACGACGTACGACAACTAGCTGCGAAGATATACGCCGTTATTACTGGATACTTACCGAGAAATGAATTTGAGAAATATGTTTCGAGTATTATGAACATTATGAATAGAAAAAATTTGGAAGCACAACATGGTGCATTAATGGCATTGACTTATATGATGGAAAGAAATTTAATACAACAACGAAATGGAAATAAAGAGGATTTGTGCAATTGGACGACTTACAATGATATTGTGAAAGCAATATGTATGTATTTATATATATCATGTTACAGATTTAATATACTTGAAATATTATGTTTATTATACTCAGGTACATATCTTCGTGATAACGCGATATTATTGATGGATGCAGCTATTCAAGCAATTGGTATCTTAGGTAAAGCATATTCTCTACCTTTACCAGCAGAAGGTGATAATGAATTGAATAAGAAAGCGATAGTAGAAACACTCTTTTCCGTATTATCTAATGCTAAATTGAATACTAAGGTTTGTAATTAATTACATATTGTGTATATTAGTTAAATATTTTATATTTGATATCCTATAGTCTTACAGCTTTATTTTGCTTAGATGAAAGAAAAAGCTGCGCTTTCATTGGGATATCTGTGTGTTGGCGAATGTTTTCCACATACCGTGGATATCGCTAATAAAATCATAGCGACTGTCAAAGAGGTGCATAAATGTATATATATATATATATATA